CCTCACGCGTGATATATCACAATGACGACTTCGTCGCGATCAACGATCTCTATCCCAAGGCCAGCGTTCACACACTCCTGCTTCCCCGATCACCGGCGCACAATCTCCTCCACCCCTTCGAAGCGTTCGACGACGCCGAATTTCTCGCGTCTGTACAAGCAGAAGTCCTCAAGCTGAAGGAGCTGGTGGCCAAGGAGCTGCAGCGGCGATTCGGGAAAGACAGCAAAGCCGAGGCGGCGCGTGAGGCCGTCCTGAATGGCGTCGTCGAGCCTGAGGGCGATGAGTTGCCTAAAGGCCGTGACTGGCAAGCTGAGGTCATCACGGGAGTGCACGCACATCCCAGCATGAACCATCTGCACGTCCATGTCCTCTCACGCGACATGTACTCGGATTGCTTGAAGCACCGCAAGCACTACAATTCCTTCAACACTCCCTTCCTAATCGACGTTGCCGATTTCCCGCTACCACCCGACCACCCTGGTCGCGCGGGAGACCTCTTGAAGAGGGACTTTACGTGCTGGAGGTGCGGTCAAAACTTTGGGAACCAATTCGCAAGACTCAAGGAGCATCTCGCCGTCGAGTTTGCCGAATGGAAAAAGGAATGAATTCACTAGAGGCGATATCAAAGGAGCATAGAGCAAGCAGCATCATGCATGAGAAGCTATATCGGTTCCCCAGCTCGCAAGCATGGCGAGATCCAGCCTTAGAAGAGAATTGCAGATAGAATGGTATTGTATTCAGCAAGTAATGGTATCTCGGTAATGGTCGAACTCTCATGTGCCTGGCGGTCCGCGGGCGGAGGAAGAAAAAGACCTCGACACCATGTCTGAGCAAACTCGGAAGCGATACCCCAACGCCTGTCGTTTCTTGTGAAACCCTTTAGACCAAATCCCTAGAACCTTGTGTAGAAGTACATTGCCCCGTTCATCCGTTTACTGTATGGTAATAGCGGTCAGCCGAAAATTCCTCCCATCATCCTCGACCAGGGGGAGGGACGCACCTCCTCGGCAGAGTCCTCGGCGTTCGAGGGCGACTTTACGCCGGCATCTTCAAGGTCCTTGGCTGCGCATTAGTGAGCCAATGCCTTTCCACTTTGGCCAGTCGGCGGAACAAAAAGGGGGCAGACGTGTGTGTGTATGCGCGTTTTTGCGAAAAAAGCAGAGGTCGAGCTAACCTTCCTCTTCGGATGAAGACGACTCCGCCGCAGGGGATTCCTCCTTGTCTTTCGTGGAGGCGTCGCTCTTGCGGCCCTTCTTCTTGGTCTCCTTCTTAGGGGTCGGGGCGGCGGCGGACGCGTCGGACTTGCGAGGGCGACCGCGACGGCCAGGGGTGCCGCTCTTCGCGGGGGTCTCAGAGGCCTCGGCGACGGCAGCTTCGACGGCGTCCTTCTTCGGCCTGCCACGGCCTCTGCCGGTCGAAGCAGCGGGCTTCTTGGGCGTCGTGGCCTTCTTGACGCCTCCGCTTCCCTTGGGGCGACCGCGAGGACGGCCTGTGGGAACGTACACCTTCTTCTCGCCAGGGACCTTGGGGGGTCTGCCGCGGCCGCGCTTGACGGGCTCCTCAGTCGTGGGCGCCATCGCGTGTTTCGGTATGTGTAAACGGTTGGGAAATCAATGGAAGAAATTTGACTAAAAAAAATGCCAGAAAAATACGAAAGACGAGACAAGTGCGACGTTTATTCAATCCGTCGTGCAGCCTTTCTTCCGTGGTGAGTAAGAGGGAATTGGTGAGTTAGTTGTGTTGAGGAAAGAAAAAAAGGGAAGAGAAAGAGAGAAGGGGGAAGGAGGACTGATGGTTTGGCGTCTCCAATTGTGTGCAGCAGCTCAGGTAGGTACCTTACCTTGCAGCTGTTAGACCAGCGCGGGAAAAAGCGCGCTGCAGCGCGTGTTGGCGTCGCTGGAGCTAGGGGACACGCTCCGGGGTAGAGAGCCGCTAGTTCAAAAGGCCCCAGCTTGGGTGCGTCGTGGTGGAGAGCTCTTTGGCTAAACGCCGGGTAGTTCCCCGGACGTGCTTTGGGAGCCTTTGGAAGGTCCCCTGCCGCCATCTGCAGCTCGCCTTCTTACATGCTGCGAACCTTCGTCTATACATAAAGGACAGAAGAAAAGAGATGTGTTCCCGCGGCACACTTCGCTAATTGCCTGTCTCGACTCCGACTGAACTGGCACCACTGGCCACCTCAATCAAGTATCCCAGGTGGATGCGCCGATCGCGAATGCAGTAATTTAGCAACAACGATGCGTACGCGAAAAGCATAGTTTGAAACAGGGATTCGTACAGAATCGTGCGATCTGGGCACGGTGGCATGCTTGCTTTTTGTGTGAGTACGATACTTCTCTTGAGCAATGCCGCTTGTGGTATTTCACGTATGCAGCGACTGAGAACCGGAAAAAGGTAGTGCTCTTCATAGAAGCAGCGAGCATCGCCAATTTGGCGTCTATAGCTAGGAAAAATAGACAGTGTGTGTGGCAGTATATCGGTCGCAATTTTGGGCAAGGACTTGGTTTTCATGGTTCCAGGTAACGACAAGCTTTTTTGGTAATTTTTACACCGCACCGAACGTTGGCGTCAGGCCCAGTGTGCAATTATGATACAATGCTTTTGTTTCGTCCTTCCTAGTCTCATACAAGGAGCATCTTCTGGACTTCGTTTCGTCCCGTCTAGACATCTCCGCTAGTCGTTCATGAACACACGATATGTGATCTTGCTCATGCCCGCCTAGTACGGCGAATGGTGCGCGCAGGTTTGCTGTTATCCTACTCGGCAACCTTGGTCTTGACCTTGCCGCTGGCACCGCTCTTGACGCGCTTGGCGACGGGTCGGTTGAGGTGGTGCTCGGGAATCCAGCTCTCGTCAAAGTCCTTGCCGGTAGAGGAGGCAACAGCGGTGGTGTCGGCCTCAGCCAAGGGAACGGTGACGTTCACCTGGCGAACCTTCTTAGCGGTCTTGGCCTTCTTGGCCTGCGGGAAGAGGGCCTCGATCCAGGTCTTGTAAACGAAGTAAAGGGTACCAGCAAAGGCACCGGTCAGGAAGAGGTAGAGGAAGATGCTGTTGCAAGTGTCAGCGTGTAATAACTGATGCGCAGCCTAGGGGCCAACCTACATCTGGGGATCGAAGATGCTGGTGGGAGGCTCGACAACGGCCGCGGTTGCGTTGTAGGCCTGGACCTGGAAGATATCGCCCTTGGAGTTGCTGACGACAGCAACGAGCTGAAGAAGAACATCCTGGGGCTGCATGTCGAGAGCGAAGGAGTAGGGAACAGCCTTCTTGTCACCCGCCTCGACGGTCAGGTCGTAGCGCGCAGACGTGAGGTTGCGGAGGATGGCATCGCTGGGATGAGCATTCTCAGCCAACTCCTGGGTCGTAGTCAGAAGACCACCGACCATGGCGACCTGAATTGGAGAGTCTTCATGGTTGGTGAACTCGATAACGGCCTTGGTGGGACGACCGTTGACGAGCTTGACGCCAAAGATATCAGCCTCGGGGAAGGTAGCGGCAATGTCGGCCTTCAGAACCGGAGCAGTGGCATCGGTGTCGACCTGCACACGATTAGAGACAAAAGGCAATGGCGGCGCGACTCTTGAGTCGTGAACTCACAGGAGGCGCCTCCTCGGCAGCGAACGCGCCAAGGATGGGCAGGGCCAGGAGGGCCAGAAGAGACGACTTGAAGTAGACCATGGTGGATGACGGGTAGCGGCAGCGACAACAAGCAACAATTGAATGCGACTTGACCAAGTCAACAATCGCAATCAATGATGAAGGGTGGGGGGAGGGAAAGGGAAAGAAGAGATGGAGGAGAAGAATTAGATGCGAGCCAAAGGGGGAAGAACCAACCCGATACAGACCGTGTCGCTGCGGGTGCTGAGGTGTCACTTTGGCAGGCGACGGGACGGAAAAAACAGAGTGTGCGCCCACGGTTGAATCAGCAATGTGGCCTCACACGACTTGATCCACTGGCGAAGGCAAAGCACGAGAGATACCTGCGGGCTGCGGCCTGGCCTGGAAGTGTTCCATTAGATGGAGCTTCGTGCTATTGGCCAATCATCACATCAATTGACATGCGGAGCTCTGGAGGCGCAGGTGCCACTTGGAGAACCCCCCAGCCACCTGCCCGGGCCCGAACCAGGGATGCGGAGCTCGGGGACCATAGCTTCAGCACATCTCATCTAGGTACCTCGGAACAAGGGAGCTCCTATTCTTTGAGGCACCGTCGTTCTGCTTAGGTATGGTACGCTTCCCAGGAGACGACGCACACCAGACACCAGACAGCAAAACATAGCGATGGGCATCGCAAAACCCAGAGTCTTTCTCAAGATACCATAGTCATTGCCTCAATACTGAACCAACTACCGAGACGCCGCCTGCTTTGGCCTTTTTCAGCTAAGCTCTGGCTCAACTGTAACAGTACATAGAAAATGCAAATTCCCTTTGCAAAAGAATTATAACTCATACACAAGTTAGTGGTGCCTCGTTCCAAAAGCCCCCTGAGGCAGCTAATCCCATAATCTTTGTCTCTCCATCATCTATGCCACTCCCTGCTGCCTTTCTCGGTTGCTTTTGGTGGTTCTGGTTTGCTCCTGAAAGCCACGCCCATTGCCTCTGTATGCCTTGCCTTCTAGGGGAATCATCCCACCTAACGCCGTAAACATGCTGGACTCGGATGAAACGCAAATCGACGAGGGCCAACCGAAAGAAATGAAAGGCTATCAAGCCGAAAACCAGTCGTGGATATCGTCACATCGTCCAAAGTCATCAACAGACCGTCTCGCCGGTCGTAAACATTGCTTTGAGTAAAGTTGCGCGTCATTGCCGGGGTAGTCGTTGCGTGTCGAGTCGGGTGCTCGTACCCGTTCGTGATATTAAAATAGTAGCAGCGGCAGTTGTCGCATTCAACATCGTTCAGAAGAAAAAAAGTTTGTCGAGTCGGGCCATGGGCCTCGTTGGTGTCCCCAATAGAACCCTCTCGCACGATGCGCGGTTGCCGATCGAGTACCATTGTCCTACTAGCCCGAGAACTCGACAGCCTTTGCATGGGCAGCGTTGCTGTCAAGGTCGCCAAAGTCGAAGGCCGATGCGCGGCCGACGGAATAGCGGAATGGCAGCGTGAAGCCCTTGGCCAGTTCCGCCTGAACGTACTCAGCGGCACGCTTGTATCTCTTGTCAGAGTACTTTTCAAAGACGGCAAGGTGGTGCTTGCGAGGGTTATAACAGCATTCCAAAACCATAGAGACCAGATTCTTAAGCTGGGCCCAAGTGTATCCAGAGTAGTGAACGTGTGCCGGGGTCTGGCTTGTGTTAGCAGCGCTCATTTACAGAAGTTATACCGGTCAACTTACCCAGTCGCCCTTCTTCAAGATCAGTCGAGACAAGCAGTGCGCAGCGGCAGCGAGGAAGCTGGGAGGACTGGCGACGAAGCGCTCATCCATGATGGTGACTTCGAGGAAATACTTTGCCAGCGTGCGCGTCTCGAGGTCATAGTCATCCGCCTTACTAACCCTTCGCAGAAAGCTCATCGGACCAGGGAAGCCAAGCTCGAAGCTCAGCATGCTGAGCATGAAACGCTCGGCCTTGAGAATCTCGTCAATTTTGTAGCCGTTGTCAACCATGAAGACAATCTCCTGCAAAGATGGACAGTTGATCTCCTCGTATTTGGAGGCAACAAGCAGAGCGGTAGCGCCCACTAGTTGAAGCTTGCCAATAGAGACAACCTTGTATGATAGGAAGCGGTCGATGTAGTTGACCGTGAGGAAAAGAGTCTCCGGCAAGAGACTGAATCGGTGGTGGACTTGGATCAGCCAGTCCATCAGGACTGAGCGCATGGACCACTGGATCTCGGCTTGGTGGTCCATGTAGTGAGGGTCGGGCAGCATCTTCATCTGCGCAACAGTCAGTCAGCATTGAACGTCAATTGCAAATAGCCGCCGCCGAACGCACCTCAAGCTCCCTCATGTACTCAAAAATGTCGTCGCCGTACTCTGCCACCATACAGACATCCCAGATCTCGTCGTCGACCTCCTCTTGTGTACGGGTACTCTCAACAATGGCCCGGGCCGTCTCCAGCTCTTGTTGCACCTTGTCAGTAACCTTGGGAGCCAACACTGTGGTAGCGCCGCCAGTGGTGAGATCACCCCGGGATTTGTACGAGTGGGCAGTCGTGTATCCCTGGTCGTCGTAGAGCTCCTCCTCCTCTTCCTCGTCCCAGTATTCCTCCGGCTCCGACAGCACGGGGGCAGCAAGGGCCGAGTCGACGGGGACGTTGTCGTCCTGGAAGTCAACCTCAAGGGGGCGGGCATTTTCAGCGACCTCCAAGGAGCGCCTGTTGTATGGGCCGTGGTATTGTTCATCGCCAATATGTTCGACAGCATCCTCGTAAGCAGCTTCGGTCACATCATCCATTGGCTTCCAAGATTCTGTTGTGGCTCCTGGCTGTGTTGAGGTTGTGGACAGCTTGCTCTTGGTGCGCCTCAGCAAGTGCATCGCAGGCTCATTCTTAAGCTGAGGCTGGGACTTGTACTGTCGAGGCTGTCTGCTTGACTCTGCTGTGGCGTCTTGTGCCATGTGCTTGCTCTTCGAGGGTCTGGCGTCCAAATGGGCTACAGACGCCCGCTTCGCAACCTGTTTTGGCTGCGCATCATTGCGCACGTCAAGCTTGGGTTGCTTCCATTGCGCTACAGGGGGAGCAGCAGCTTTGTTGCCCAAAGCAGTGGATCGCTGAGCAGGGCGGGTGAATCCATCCTTGCCGTTAGTGGGATTCTCCTTGTTGTAGTTGATGTCAACCACCTTGCCCTTGCCCGGGAGCTTGTCATTGGGTAGAGCAGCGAGGTTCTTGGCCGTGTTGCTGACGTCTCCGAAGGCGGTGCGCTTCGCAGCGACCTGGAGAGCGCCATTACGAGGCATTGCCTGGAGGTTGCCGGTGGATTTGTGTCGCTGATGTATGGAATCTTGTTTCGAAGGGATGATGTTTTCGTTTCCACCCGGGTGGACTCGGATGCGCTGAGGCTGTTTTGAGGAAGGTTAGTCAATAGAACAACCAAATCAAGGAAGTTGTCCCTCGCAAGATGGTCGCTGGCTACGAGGGAGAGTCGCAAGGGAGGTAGTGACTTACTCTAGCGTCCATTGCGGCTGCTTGGCTTGAGATGGCTAGCACTGCTTGTTTTTTTATTCTGTTTGCGACGGAAACCGGGAGGGGCAGTGGGGAGTATTATGAAGCTGCTGCCGGTGAGGATGTCGTGGGAACAATTGCGTCCGATAGCATGTAAACACCAACGGCTCCTTTTGCCTATGCTGCTGCAGGTTCGGTCCTCGATTTTCGGCCGGCAGAGTAAAAGACGGCTGGGTGGGATCGAGTGAAGGGATGGATGAGGGATATTGCGACAGATAGGGATATAACGAAGGGGCGAGGGCCGGTCAGGTTTATGAGGTACCTTTAACAGAGGTAGCGGACTGCCTCGACAATGACCGGCTGTTGGGGGAGGGAGGGATGTGGAAGGGACGGAGATATGAAGGCTTGGAAACAGCTCTGGACGAGAAGAAAAGGTCTCAAGCCAAAGACTGTTTGGTGGTGACTGCCGCGACGGGGCGGATTAAGACCAAAAAAAAGCCGCCTTGCTAGCCAGGTAAGGTTGGAGCGACCCTTGGGACAGAATGCAGACTGTTTACTTGTTTTGTAAATATTTCGCAGCTGCCCACCACCGACGCGAAGCCCGTCACCCAAAGCGCGTCTTGCGATTGGCTCGCTAAGGTGGGACTAGCCGTTGGCCGGCCACTGGGCGGAGACCTCTGGGCTCATCTCCAGGCGGAGGGGCTGCAGAGTCGCAGTGAATTCAATGTTTTGCGCGCCCCATCCCCGGTGTCTCTGCGCAACCGCACAACACACGCGCATGAACGAATCCGGGGAAGAGTCAATGAGCAACACGATGCGGACCCAAGACACTGGTATTCAGACGACGTTTCGGTGATATCATCCGACCTGCCTGCATCCAACCCCGGCCAACCGTTGTTGTGATTGCAACTTGTTGATGCTGGCTTGCTCTTGCTTGCATGGCCATTCTGTTTGCCCTAATGCTCGACATCCTCCGAGCCCACGCCCGCGGATGACAAGCCGCTTGGCAGGCACAATGAATGAGAATACCCCTTCTTACCTTCAAAGAGCCTCCAACGCCTTTCTTTGTTGATCGAGCCTGTGAAACGAGGAACGTTGGATTTATCGGCTGTCCGAGGACGAGGACAAAGGCCCAGCCCCACGTTAGTCTTCAGCGGCAGGCACATGGGAATAGACGCTACGAGATAGCTTCCGGGCTGGAGTTGTCGGCTGCATCGTCTGTCTTTCACACAACTTGACGATACGATCCTTGGGCCCACTGAGGAGAACTCCAGTTGATGCGGCAGGATTTCACACTGGAGTGTGCAGAAGATATCCGAAACCTGGCGCCGCGTCGGACACAAGAGATGCGAGGGTGATTCTCTACGGCGCAAACGGTGAATAATCCCAGAGTATGCAATATTAGATCCTTGATGGCGAGTATCAACCAAAACGAAGGTCACAGAGGAGGAGGAGCCCATCCAAGCCTGGGGAACGTGGTTATCGTGCCGCGTGGCGTCGAACAAACGATTCGAGGTTCTCGGGTCGCCTCCGAAACGCGTCAACGTTGCGAGTCAAGATCAAGGACAAAGAACGACATTCTCGACGGTATATCAGCAACCGCCACCAAGAGGCCAGAATCCAGCTACGGTGAAAGCGAGCGGGATCGTAGTAGAAGTCCCCGTACGGAATCGTTCGCCCCTGGCCCACGGCGTCTGTCGTCAACTTTTTCGTTTCATTTTGGCGTCCACAAGGGCAGAACGACGTCGCATTAAACAATAAAGAGATTAAGAGCGTAGAGCATCAGAGCTGATGAGACAATGGCGACAAAATGGAAACGACCCACTCAAGTCTCGTTGTTGTCAGCAAAGTTGGCTTTGGTTTCTGAACGAGTCGGGCGCAAAGACAATGCCTGCTTATGACAGTCGCAGGCAATAGGCGAAGATAAAGCTGAGCGGAAAAACGCTACTGGGCGTGACGGAGGTCATTGGCAGAGAAGACTTGAGCCATCGCAGATGGGATTATGGATTGCATGGAAGAGACGTGCTTGAGAGAGGGGAAGACGATGAAGAATTAGAGAGACTGTGGTAGAGATGAGGATGGCAGGCAGAATTGTGTAAAGGTAAGGACTATGTCTGAGGTGACGGAGGTACGAACGACGGCAACAGTGCTGTTCCAAGTTACAATGACGAACACGAGCGATTACAGCAATGTCAAGGTACCATAGAACAGGGGCTTGCACTAAGGATATGGTAGAGAGGGACACGCATCGGGCCATTTTCTCGACCCGATCATGGGCAATCCCATGAAGCATCTTGTTGAGAGTGCCGCACTGATCATTAGTTCTACATTCCATCGACCACGCGGTTAAAAGCCGACGCTGGCCTTTAAGGACGAGACTCGTTTCCGCGTTTGCGACATGGGCATTCGTGAGAACAGGAACCATCTCGGTCATTGCAGGGCGCTGTTTGGGCAATACCCTGTGTAGGGCGCAAAGAGAAAAGAAACAGAGTCATAAGAGATGTCGGGAGATTGGGAACGCAAGATTCAAAAGCTTTCGTGAGATAGGGACAGGGATTGTATCGAGGTGAATCGAACCCAGAAAGCCAGAGTGGTGAGGCGTTGATGGTGAGGTGCAGGTGCAGGTACGTGCTGCAAGTGCTCGGTAAAGTCTCGGCAGCTCTTCCGACCCCTGTCGTTATAAGTGGAGTCCACACCTGCTGGATTAACGCTAGTCTAAATATGGATGATGATGTTGAATTTCCTCCCTCGTCGCGTCTCCTGGATGACAGTCAATTTGAAGCTTCCGGCAATAGCAGCCGTAAAGCTCAATACTTACCTTCAATCGACTTTGAAAACTCATTGTTATAGGATTTGAAAGCCTTCAGTAATTTTTTGTGATAGATCCAACCCCATTTCATCGTCCTTTCGATCATTACAGTCGTCAGGGTCCAAAGTCCCTGGCGCGCCGAGCGGCGAACGCGAACCTGCCACCTAGTCACGTGGAGGGTGTTGGGCGCAGATATAGCCAGGAGGTCAAGGTCAAGGTCCAGGTCGCGGCAACAGCATTGCGCAGCACCGAAGGGAATCCACCGCGAATCGTCAGTGTTGCGACTCATCGCCAAAACTCTCGTACCCCCGGCGCCTTTTTTTTGTGCGCTGGATCCTCTTTCACGACCGGCGCCCCTTCTCACTCGCCTGGCGCATATGGCGACAATTGCGACGGAATTGGACGTACGCGCCTGGCCCAACAGCCTGCGACCGGCATTGGTATTGGTAGAGGCAGCGAGAGACCCGTCTTGCAGGCCGTCGCATCTGGCCAGTCGCATTGGCGCAACGCGATGCGCCTAAAGCATTCACTCTGCTTTGTTTATTTTGATCGGGTTGATTCTAGGAAGGATTGCGACTCGTCCGACGTTGGCGATGCCTCTCGCCAAATGCATGACGGAAGCGACATGTCGTCAGGGACCAGCCGGGATGTGCGCGGGCAATTAATATCTCTGCATGATGGGCGTACCAGCTCCCTTTTCACCCCTCAATGACAATCACCCGCCCGCTGCCACGCAAGCTGGACATGGCAGGATACGACCACCACAATCCCGCACGACGCTGCGCTGCCCTGCGCTTCGCTTCTCTGCGCTAGGATGACCTTCTGCTCCCAGGCACAAGACCAATGGCGCAAAACCGGCGACGACCGGACGGAGGGGCGCCGCCATCTGACTGGCTTCGGCGCATTCTCTTGCTCGATCGCACACACACACACACACACATGTCCATTCCGTTCAGTCGCACACCCTCACCCAGCATGCGACCATGTTTTGGAATTGGCCACAGCTCATCTGGCTTTATATCATAGGGCATCATCCCATCCCACCGTCGTCAATCATCAACTGTCACAGTCCGCCAGTCTGGGGATGGGCGCAGCGCACTGCGCAGTTCGAAGGAAAGCTCAACCCCAGTCCTCAGCACGTACCTATGCGACGACTTCTAACGTACCCCCTGCAACATGTCGCAGCACACAAAAACTGGAGAATCGGCAGTGCAAAGCCAGAATTCGCGCACAGTACGCCCGCTGCCCTGGAAGACCCTACGTCGTCGCAACTTTCTTTCCACACTTGCCGCGCCGCCAGCAGCTTCGTCTTCCACTGCGCATCGAACATGAGAGAGAGAGTGTGTGTGTTTGCGCGAGCGCAGCCCGTCCTGTATGCGCGCTTCGTAGGAGAAGCTATGGATCGATTTGAGAGTCCACAGAGAGAGGGGCTAAGTGGCGTGGCGAAAGTAGCCCAACCATGCGCAAAAGACAGAATAAGTCGAGTGTGACGCACAAGGGTTGCAGAATTTGACTGATGCCGCCTCCGCTCACTCACTCACTCTCCGCCAAATGCGTTGAAGCCAAAATGCGCGGGCAGGCGCCGATCTTCCCGGCAGAATCCAGCGCACCACGGCTCCATCTGCTAGCTTGGTCATACCCGTCCATCTCTGCCCGTCAAGCGACGAGACCCTCGCAGCTCGCTGGCGGGAGCCGAGAACGAATCGACGTCGAGTCCATCTCTGCAAGACCGGTCTCAACTGCAGTGCTTGCTTCAATGTGTCGCCGCCGCGTTGGTGGTGGGATGAAAAGAGCATAGCATGGCATGGCATGGCATGGCATCTTGACGGGGCCCACGAGCTAATCGGGTCGACTGGCCGCAACGGCTGGGCAGACACGCAGAATGCGACTCGAATCAAGCCCTTTTCGCCTCCCCAATCCCACCAGAAGACTAGCAATAAAAAGGGTCCTCGATGAAGCCATGTTCAGTTCCCAATAGCAAGCCTCCCAAACCTCGACGTGGCAGTGGAGCCCCAACCTGCGAGGTAACGCAAAACAAAGAGCGATGGCTGCGTTCAGGAAAGATAGCTCACCCCTGCGAGGGAATCTGGAGCCTGGGCGCAAAGTCTCGCCAGGTGTTGCACACCGTACTTTGAGTGCGGCATGCCTCTGAACTCCCCGATTGGCGAAGCGACTTGTTGGGGCCTGCATTATCCAGTGCCAGTTC